AAATGTGCTCTTTTTGATGTATCTATAGGTAAAAGTTGGCAGCATTTGATCATTTGCATGATTTTATTTTTGTTTGTTCAACTAAATGGTCAAAGACTTGAAATCAAACGAAATTCTATTGATAGTAGTATTGATTTGTCAGAATCACTTTATGTTCCATTGAAGAAAGTAAATGTTAATGTAACAATTGATTCATTCGCAGCTGATGTGACTATTACTCAAATATTTTATAATAATGAAAACATCCCAATTGAAGCTGTTTATTATTTTCCTATCGAACAACAAGCAGCAATTTATTCATTTGTAGCACGTATTAATGATCGAGAAATTTTTGCTGAATTAAAAGAGAAAAATGAAGCACAAAAAGAATATATTGTTGCACTACAAAATAACCATGGAGCTTATCTATTAGAACAAGATGAAAAATCTTCAGATAGTTTTATTATTAATATTGGTGCATTGCCACCAATGACTGAATGTATAATTACTATATCGTATGTTACTGAATTAGATTTTATAGATGGAAGTATTCTTCGTTTCGTGGTTCCTACTACCATTGCACCTCGATACAATTCTCAACTGACTGGATCGTCATCATTTACAGGTCCTACTACTCAATACGTACAGAACAGTCCATATACAATTGATTTTCGTTGTAATATTAAAAAAATAACTGATTCGAAAGGACAATTATTAATACGTAAAGTGAGTTCATCATCTCATCCAATTGAAATAGATGTTCATCGAAGTGATATTTATATTGTAACATTTGCTCGAGAAAATACTCATTTAGATCGAGATATTCTAATCAATACTGAACTAATTAAAAAACAAACCAATACTATTTTAACTGTGGATTCTAATGCTATAATGGTTACTTTTCTTCCTACGGAAGATGATTGTCGACAAGGAGGAAATGATAATCAAACAAATGAATTTATTTTTCTGGTAGATTGTAGTGGATCAATGAGTTCAGAGGACAAAATTGGTTTGACTAAGAAAGCTATTATACTTTTCCTTAAAAGTCTTTCACCATATTCTTACTTTAATATCATTCGATTTGGTTCAACTTATTCGCTATTATTTCCAGAAGTTACTGTTATCTCTAATCAATTAAATCTTCAAAAAGCGGAAAAAATTGTTAATCAAATGGAAGCTGATTTAGGTGGAACTGAATTAGTAAGTTGGATTGTTTTCATTTTATCTATATTTGCTTTTGTTGTCGTTTTTCTAGTTTACACCATTACAATGGTTGAAAGATCATCCTCCAATTAAAGGACGTTCACGTCAAATCTTTCTTCTAACTGACGGTGAGATTAGTGATGTTTCCCATGTGTTGGATTTGTGTCGATCAATGTCTTTATCTACTCGAATTTTTTCCTTTGGTTTGGGAATGTCACCTAGTCGGGCTTTAATTAAAGGTCTTGCTCGAGCAACAAATGGTCGATTCGTTTTTATTCCACCTCACGAACGAGTAGACATCTATGTACAAGAACAATTATACAGAGCTTTACAGCCGAGTATTACTGGTATTCGAGCTAAATGGAATTTAGGTGAGAACAATGTCTCTACAGCACCTACTCGACTGCCTCCGGTTTATGCTAATGATCGTTTAACTATCTATGGTCTCACAAATAACACGATTATCTTACCTTTAGATGATAATTTTTCTGTAAGATTTTATATGGATGAAAATGATTATCAATTAGGTGAAGCTCATTTTGATCGAATTTCGCTCGTAGAAAATAGTGGAACAATTTCTCGTCTCGCTGCTAAAGCACTTATTCTTGAATTAGAACATGTTAAAGAGCTGAATACAGGTTCATTACAATCGCGTTTTCGAGATCAAACATATTTAAATGAAGAAACGAGAAAAAAAACGTATTATTGAATTATCTCTCAAATATAATATTCTATCTCCATACACAGCATTTATTGCCATAGAAAAACGAGTCAATCAAAATAATGACAATATGATTCTTCGTGAAATTCCAATTCATATATCAGCTGACGATCAACATTTGATTCCACCATCGGGAGCAATATTCACAACAACGACAACAGCAACAACAACAACAACAACAACAACAACAACATCAACGACACTGTATTCATCTAATAGCCGATCTGTGCCAACTACAGACAGAACAACAACAACAACAACAACAACGGCAACGACACTTTATGTATCTGATAGCCGATCTGTGCTAACAACAACAACTACAAGTTATTCTTACGATGTGTCATCCACCGCAGACACTACCGAACCTTCATCATCTTCGGAGTATTTAGAGTCATTTGAACATGATAGCTCATACAGAGTAGAAGCACTGAAAATATTATTTGATACATCAGCAGTGACAATGGATACCTGTGATAAAACCTCATCTAGTTGCTCGTTCTCACATTCTTCGAATAATGGTCAAACTTCAACATTCTCATCTTGGTTTGCTCTTTTTGTACCATTGTTCTTCTTTATGATAGTATATTAAAACTTATCATCGTAATAATCTGACTAAAAACTAAATCATTGTATTTAAATGATGAAAACAAACAAAAAAACATTTTCCTATATAATTCTTTTTTTTCTTCTATTTTTACAAATAAAAACTTCTTATCATTTACATAAAAGAAAGACACAAATTGATATAACGTTAATTGAAAAAAGAAAATCATTCCGAACAAGATTTTTTTGTTTGAATAGAATGACTCTTATTAAATATATATATTTTCGATTGAATAACATCAAGAATATGCCAAGGAGAAAAAAGCGAAATTTCGATACGTCGTTGTACTTCACCATATTATAATCATTATTTTTTATTTTCATTTAAAATAAAAGAAACAATTCATTTTCGGTATATGTACAATAAATATATTTAGAAATCTATATATTTTTCATGGTGGAGTATTCCAATCAAAATTATACTGTAAACGTCATCGTTGCTTTGAGTTTTGTTCTGATTAGAACAATGTGCATTATTTAAATCATCTATTCACAAACGGCAGTCACATATTTTCCAGATATAAATTGATGTGCTTAACGGAATTATATGTAACGCATCGATCGACTTCTTGGTAGAGGTTGAATCAAGGAGGAAAAAGCGGATTATGGGATCCCGGAATCCTCCGTATCCCTAATAAATCTTTTTAATACTTTCATTGCGTTCTCAGCATTTGTTTTGACGATTATGTATTTTTTTTGTATACTACATATCCTGACAAACGTTGACATGAATATAATTCTTTTCAACAACAAACTCTTTCTTAAATCGAAATTCGCTATGAAGAAATTGTTCAAACCGTATTTTTTTTAGTGCTAAGAAACTTTTATTTTCTATTATTGATATACAATAAAATTAAATAGAGAACCTCAAAATCCTTTCAATTTGACTTTTGTTTTTATCATATCATTCTGTGGCGTAGTCAGAATTTCTAGGTTAATAGGTAAAATTCTTTTAATCAAACATGTATTAAATTCAGATCTCAAGTCCGAGTTAGGTGTATTTTTAGTCGATTTTGGTGTCTCTACTTATATAGCATTTATGTTTTAAATTCAAACGCCAAAATCAGAACGACGAGAATTCAATCATGTATATAATTTCGATATTTCATCTGGATTTATATCGAGATCTTTATAAATCTAAGTGAAAGGAAGTCCATTTAGCCTGCTTTGTTTCATTGTAGACCTACAATAACGTTTAATTCTCGATAATTGCCTGAAACATCTCTCATCAGAAGCTGCTGATATAGGCTTACTCTATATTCTTGTTTCTCCTGTCTTTAATCTATCCTTCCCTACCTTTACTTGATCAGCGTATTCCCAAGAAAATCAAATTCATGTTCAACCAAACTTACAATCAAAATCCAAGAAGCGATTCTTTTCTCAATTCATCACAAAAAGAGCAAACAAGGAGTGCATATGTGCTTTAAACGGAAGAAAAAATACAGTTAGGGCGTGGATAAGGGTAAAGATGTTATTCTTAACATAACAAATACGAATACTGAAAATTGATCTTGACATATACCATTATCTCTTGATACTTATGTAGTTTCTAAAATACATTATCTCTCTCTGCTCAAATATATCCTTAAAAATAAAAAAAAAGATATACATGGACTAGATGATATTTTATTGGATGTTAAATATACCTAAATCTTTTTTTATGTTATACAAGTGATCTTTAAATAAAACTGCTAGACATATTTATCTAATACAACTCTAGTTTAATGTACGTCATAGGTCTGACGTATTTTTGTATTTAAATATGGAAGTGAAAAATGATATTCTATTGTAATAGGAACAATGCAAAGCGTATATGTATTTAGTAGCAGTAGTATTTTAACAAGGTACTGCCAAAAACAGAATGAAAGAGACGAGACATGTGGATGACATATATTTACCTCACAAATATTCAATATGAGTAATTCTTCGAAATCATGCGTATGCATCATAGAGATATGAAATACGTCAACGAAATTGGATCTTATTAGTCAATGAGGAACAATAAAATTTTTACTGGTATATAAAAAGAAAAAGAAATCAAGGTTATATTATCGACTGATATAGTATAAACATTTGGTTTTTTTTGCAACATGTCATCCATGATCCGTACTACCATTATTATTATTCTTCTTCTTTCAATTTTAAGCATTGTAAATTGCGATTATTTATGTAATTGTTACTGTTCAACTGGTAATAGCTATGTTGTACATAGTATTTATGTCTCATCATCATCCATATGTAATGCTCAAACTTGTGAAAATACTTGTACTGGTTTATTGTCATCATATACATCTGGTTCGGTACGGAAGTAAGTATATTAATAATATCAATTAAACATTCATATATTTCTGTTGTAGTTCACATCCGTATATAGAAAACGATTTAACAATGTCATTGGATAGTATAGTTATGGGATTAGCAGGACTTTTTTGACGAAAAAATTGTTTAAAAAGATATTTATATGGAAATACTTTTATACTGATGAAATTTTGTATAGTTGTTTTTTTAAATTTCATTTTAACCAATCATTTCTATTTTATTTCTTTTGTATAATTCAATAATAAATACCAAAAGAACTCTCATTGCTTGTAACATTCACCTATCAAATATCAAATTGTTTGACACATGTCTCATGAAATATTGTGTTTACTTGAAGCACTTAGATATTGAAGTAAAAATTTATAATTTTACCCTAAAATTTTCGTTTCAAATAACATATCATAGATACATTTATATTTTATAAAGATTTTCAATATATAAGATGAATATAAAACTTCTACAGGTTGATCACGTTAATTTTAATATTTTTTCATGATTTGTTGTATTTCAACGGAACAATGAAAGTTTCTTATTCTAGTATGGTAAGATAGAG